CCGTCACTCAGGAGCTCCTGGGTGGCTCAGTTGGTTAAGCCTCTGCTTTGGCTGGGATCAAGCCCCATGTGAAGCTCCCTGCTCAGGGGGGAGCCTGCTTCTCCCTCTCCTCTGCCAGCTGCTCCCCTTGCTTGTGCTCTCTCTTTGTCAAACAAATAAAATCTTTAAAAAAATAAGTTCAGCCACTCATTTTGGGTGATTTCTCTGCCCTCCTCATACCCACCAACCCCACATAATAAACACATGCTCTGAATTTTCTCTCAACTCTTGTCAGTAGTCCTGCCAGCATACACCCCATAACTGCAAACGAAAACTCCCTCCAAACTCCAGAGATCCTTTCAAGGAAACCAGAGCAGAAGATCCAAAGTGCTTTTTCCTACCTGCTTTGCTCTGCCTCCAAGGCTCCTGGGTGCTGTCCCCACCCGGCCCCATACACCTCTCCCCATCCCACCCTTCTGAATTCCACTGGGATCTAAATCTGATTCCACTGTGGAATTAAAAGGAAGATAAAGAGCCATTTACAAATGTCTTCTTAATCCCAAAATGCCTTTCGGAAGAATGTCAGTGGATCAATATTGTTTTTAATCATAATTCCTTTATATCAACAAAGGCAAATAATCACTACTTTAAGGAAAGATCACGGATTTCGGAATCACAGAACAGGAGTTCTGTTTACAGTTCACTCTCTTGACAAGGGGAGTGATCTTGGGAGAATCACTTGACCTTTCTGATTCAATTTTGTCATCAGTAAAATAGGGTGAACAAAGTCAACTTTATAGTTACATGAGATAGTACTAGTAAAGCAATACATCACACTGTTAATGTCAGTTCTCCTCTGTATCTCTTTTCCCATAACTGCACCCACACTCAACTTTCTGTAAAGAAAATAACTAGGAAGGGAATCACTAACCATTCTAGAACCACTAAAAATAAGATCCTTTCAGTGGGAGGGACTTGCTAACTTGACTATCTCACAGTGCTTGACATAGTCCTCAGGGAGTTAATTATACCCCCAGTAAAAACTGCTCACCAAAATGCTTATGTTCATCTGTACTCAGATTATTTGGAGTTTAAAAGTTAAGTGTGTCTTTTGTTACTTATTATGCAAAAACACCTATCAGAGCTTCCCAAAAGACTAAAACAGAGGCAGCCTTTATTAATTTGTCTGGTCAAGTTCAGTCCACATGGTTCTCCCAGGCTTAAACTCTCAAGTTCACACTGATCATATTTCAAGTCTTTCCCCGGGTTTTTCCAGACCTCAAGACCCCCATACTTCTAAAGTTCCTTGAGGCCAACAGTATTTCTCAGGGAAATTTTTGTTCCAATAAGGTAAAGAGTGAGGAAGTGCAACTCCAAAAAATAGCTTTATCCTGACATAGGTTCTAGTCTTGGGGAACAAGATGTCTGACTCCTGCCTTTCATAAAATATCTCTAGTTGTGCTTGGGGGAAGCTGGGCTTCTGGGTGGGAGTCTGTCCCAGAGCCCTTCTCTAGCTCATCCCAAGTTCAAGGCTGAATCTAAGATAACTCTATACATTGTGTCTGGGTGGAGGCATTAAGTAAAGGGGGGAAAAAAAAACAACCAAAAAACACTACAAAGCCTCTGTTCTCCCTTCCTCCATAAATCTCTCCTGGTTTATTAAAAGAGGCATTAAAGAAATCCTCTAGCTCCAGTCAGAACTTGTAGATCAAGACCAGTAAGGAAAGTCTGAGAAGCACTCTTCTGGAGTTGGGCTGAGGCAGGGAAGGAGAAGAGGCACCAGAGCTTAGCTTCCTGGAGGGATCTGGCTGCCTAAGCCCAGCAGCCAAGAATCAGAATATGGATTTGCATGACTGGCATTCGAAACTGCACTGCCAATAAAGCTGGCCAGAGTTTAGGGTGACATAAGGGGCTATCTCATTTTCCACTGCATTATGTCTACTTTCAGAGATCCTTATGGGCACAGAGCTTACTGGAGGTTATTGCTGGAATAAAATCAGACTCCAAGAGTGCTAAGGAGACTAGATAACAAACTATATATAGTGTCTCAAGAATGTTTGCATTGTATATTATGTACCCTAACTATGCAGACATAACTTCCTGTGGGTAATAGACATAACTTCCTATGGGTAATAGACAATAATATATCGAATGTGGATAATGTATTCCATAAATGCACTTAAAGAATTACATAAATTTCATAGAACTCAAAGCAGTGATGTCGAGCACACTGCAGAAGAGTTAATGAATATTTGTTATAGGACATGCTTCCCACCATACAGATTTGGCTATTTTGTAGATACACACAAATAATTCTTTCTTTTTCTATTTCTCTTTCTCTCTTACTACTATATATCATCAGTAGAATTGCCTCATTTGGGAGAAAGAAAACAAAACAAAACAAAAACCTAAGCCTGAAACCAAGAATTAGGACAGTGTCCCAGAGCTAGTTAACTTTAAGGGAGCAATCTGGTTATAATCCCAAGTCTGCTGCTCTTAAACCACACTGTATGATTATCTTGTAGGTAGGCAGAAGGAACAATGTCATCTTATTTCCACTTTTCTATGTGAGTACAGACACTTATACACAATTTTCATGTAACCCCCATTGTGCATAGAAGAAAAATGTCATGCCCACCTAGGACCCATAGGAACAGCTTTCAAAATAAACAGAGGCACATTTCTTAGTACAACACAACTGAATTAATGTGAAGTTGGAAACCCTGACCCATCTCTACATGTCTTGGCCTCAGTTTTGTGAACCACTCCCCATTCCTATCCTAACTTGCAATTTGCTCCCTCAAAGCCACACCAGGACCTAACACTCTCCACTCCACCTATGGGTTCTCTCAGTGCGTGTGCCCTGGGCAGTCAGAATCCAATCCAAGAGAAAACTCACCTTCAGGGTTAGGGTCAACCCTAACTGTTCAGACTGAAGGCTCACAATGTCCCCCTTTCCTCTGTCAGCCCTTTGGGTGACTTGTCTAGCCAAGAACCCCCCAGGAATGACTCTCCACGCTCCTCGGAGGCTACCCCATGAACAGATGGAACTCTCAGTGCCAGTAGTGGCCTCTGGGTGCCTAAGATGTTGCAAACACGGACATCTCCCAGCCACCTGGAGAGTGCAGGGCAAGGGCTAGGAAAGGGCGGGAGGCCTCGAACCAGATCCGGAAAGGTTTCTTTTACCGGAAAATTGACTGGAATTTTGCCATCCCGGAATCTGACGCCGGAAGTGCCTGGAGAGGTTTAGAGTGTTGGGGTAGATTCGCTGAGCGCCTCCTTCCGTACTTTTTTTTTTTTTTTTTTTTTTTTTTTTAGGCTCAGTCTTTAGCAGTCCTTCCCAGTTTAGACAGACGTTCCGCAGGTTCAGGCTCTCTGGAACCTGACTGATCCCAGACGTGAGGGTGTTAGATCTCCATTTATGCTCAGGATGGAACCAACCCCCTTCGCCCCACCATGGGTAAAACTTAGCAGAGAGAAATGCAAAGGTGTCTCCTACCACCTTACCCTCTTTAATTCACCCCCAAGGGTCTCAGGGACGCCGTGGAGGCGGTGGGGGTGGGGGCGGCGTGTGCGCTCTTGGGACCCCACGCCCTCTTAATTCGCAGCCTCCCAGTCCCCGCTGCGCGCTGCGCGCGACCCGGGGTGAGGCGGGAGCGCGGGCTCATTACGCGCGCGCGCGCGCCGCCCCTGTCCCCGGCTGAGCGCGCTCTCGCCGGGAGCCTAGGGGACGCAGAGCCCAGGGGACGCCCAGCCGGTCGCTGCCTGGAAAGACTCCTGAGCGCGCCGCCGCGGTTTTGCCAGGCTAAAAAGATTAGAAATCGTTTGTGCTTCTCTTTCACCTTCTTTCCTGTGCTCATATTTTTATCTGCAGAGCAATTGATTCTCTGTTGCACTCTTGATTGCCTTCCTCATGTTTTCTTTTCCTAAGTACAGATTTTGGGGGTGGGGGGGTGAGGTCATCATTTCCTCAATTGATATACCAGAGGGTGTAGTTGGCCCAATAAAACAGCAATCACTGCCCTCAGTGGAGTCAGCTGGTTATCTAGGGAAAAAGAGGAAAAGCCCAAGCCTTGATTTTCCTTCTTGTTCCAGCGAAGCTAGAACTCAGAGCTCAAGACACGCCTCTGCGAATTCTCAAGGAAATTCCAGTTCGAAAACCTAAGAAAGTGCTTACAAGGAAAGGCACAGGTCCTTCAAGTACTACGGGAATGGAAAAAAATTACTGCCAACAGACTAATAATTACAGACCACTGGAAATCACTTCCCTTTAGTCCTTTACTTTTAGGAATAACTGCATGTATTCTTGCTGTAACACTAACATTTTTTGTTCTTTTTAGAAGTGAAAATTAGCTTTATTTACTCCTGTTTATAAAAATAAGCCATGCTCAGTATTTTGGAAAACAGACAGTAACCCTTAAATTGTAATCCTTAACTAACGATGGTGTGTGTGTGCGTGTGTATACATACATACATATATTTATTAAATATATTAGTATATAATATATGTAATATATATATTAAACCCAAAATATATGGTTTTTTTGCATGGCTTTTATTCATCAGAGAAACAAAAGAGACTCTACAGTACTGCAATGAATGAGAGACACCATCCTGTGGTGTGGCTTACAAATATTTTAAAGCTCTTTGTTAAAGTTTGATCAATGATGACTCCATATGGTTAACTTGTTTCAAGCTGGTCAAACTTTAGCTTATTATATCTGATTAGAAATTATCAGAAAATATTAGTGATGAAATATATACATTATACATTTTTTATTGTTTTAGACTAAGGCATGGGCATCCAAAAACAGTGGATAATTGAATAATACTGAAATATCCATTTGCTTTTTTTTAACTTCAAGAAAGATAAATGTGTGACACATACATGGGCTTCTGTGCTTTTAATAGGCAATAGAAGCAATGACTTACTATGCAAAAGACATCAATGAATTAAATTACGTGGCTTAATCTACTAGCAGAATAACAAATGGATGATAAATAGAGCAACTCCTACTTACCAATAGGCGTAAGTCCATGCTTTAGAGAATCTTGTAAATTTCCAGTATCCAAATTAGAAGACATTCTTAGTAAAATTATAGGTGGTCCTTTGGTTTAAAGCAGAAATCATTGAGCACAAGAAAAAGTACAGCTTGTCAAATTTTTTGGCCCTTGGGAGGACACATGAGACTACAGTAATCCTCAGTGAAAGTTAAAAAAATAGCAAAAAAAAAAAAAAAAAATCCAAGAATGCCGAAAGTTACAAGTTAAGTCTTTCCCTGAACTCTGTACTTTTTCCAGCATTAGTGCCTGCTGTAAACCATGTATCCAGTTACATGATGGTTTCTAATCAGAAGAATGGAAACTTTTGATAGGTTTAGACAGATCACATGACTCTATACAAGTTGATAAGAGGACCCTGTTATAAAGTGACAGCAAAAGAGATAAGAACTCCTGGCAGATAATGGCAAAGAAATGATTAACTCAGAAGTGGAGAGGTGCTATGCAGCACAGAGAGTGGAAAGTTGTAAAACTGAGGGGTCAGAAGATCATACTTAGTGGATAAAACTCCAAACCAACTTAAATCTACTAACTAAACTTAGACTTGTGACATACCCCCTTGATGTCATCTCCTCTTTGCATAGAGGAGAACAGACGTAGCTCTTCTGACCTCTGTAAACATATTTTAGATGATAACATTAGCACACACTAATTCTTTAAATGATGATGGGAGATTTGATTGACACTTTAAAATACTATGGTAGCATTTCCAAGCTTATGGTCATTTATTCATTCATGTGTTGTCAACCAACTTTTTAATCATGCCTATTCATTAGCTGCAAAGTTAATCTTAACTTGTTTGTTCATTAGTTGGTTAAAAGGGCACCCTATCTCTTTACCCCCAATAAAGTAAAACTTATGCTTTGAGGTCAGTGCCGGCAAAATGATGAATGTATAATACGTTTTACATAATTTTAAGTTATTATTCTTCACTTGAATCCATGGGGAAAATCTGGATCACTCTTCACATGAAAGAACCATTACTAAAATGACCCAACAGTAGTTTTAGGTTCTTTTTAAGTATCTCTGTTGTTCTTTAAAGTAATAAACTATGGATTCTTACAATAATGCATATCTTTTCCCATGTTGTGAGTTAGTTGTTTGTTTTGATTTCTGTAATGGAGCAAACATTCCCCCCCGCCCCGAGATTCTATTTAGAAAACTCGAAATGTTTATGTACAGCATTTACCCATCAAAATTATATTTTCTTGGATTAGATTTCACTATATAATAGAAAAGTAAAAATAACAGTGGTTTAAATAAAACCTTTATTTTTCTCTTAGAAGTTCAGATGTAGACAATCCAGGGATGGTACAAAAGGTCTACAAAGTTAAGCAGAAGCTGGTTCCTTCCATTTTCCTATTTTTTATCTCTTGCCTGCGTATATCAGAACGGCTGCTAGAATTCCAGCCATCCTCCGATACCAGGAAGCAGTATGGATGAAGGGCAGAGAACACATAATTCTTTTTAAGGATATTTCCTGAAAGTACCACATAAACATGTTGCTTATATCTCACTATGCAGAAATTAGATACATACTTACCCAGCTGCAGGGGAGGCTGGGAAGTGAGATACTTTAGATGGGCAAGTATTCAAACTAAAAAGAATTTGGTGATTATAATCATCCATGTCAGTTCTTTGCTGTTATTTCTTTTTATTTTTTTAAAGGTTTTATTCATTATTTTAGACAGACATATTTAGAGAGACAGAGACAGAGTGAGCCAGGGGAAGGGGAAAAGGAGAGGGAGAGAATCTCAAGCAGACCCCACTCTAGGCATAGACCCCACTAGGCTTTGACTCCACTAGGCTCAAGGGCTCAATCACGGGACCCTGAGATCCTGACCTGAGCAGAAACCAAGAGTTTGCCACTTAACGGATTGAGCCACCCCTGGCACCCCTGCTGTTATTTTTTTAAATAATCAGAAACTAGGGCACCTGGCTGGCTTAATCAGTAGAGCATGTGACTCTTGATATTGTTGGGGGTAAAGCTTACTTTAAAAAAAGAATAGTAAAATAAAATAAAAAATATTTTATAAAAAATAATGAATAATCAAACAATAATATGCCAGAATACTAGAAATATACCAAATACAGGTGTTAAAGGACATAAGACTCTGCAAATCACCTGTTCTCTTAAAAAGCATGAGGACCCCAAAATATATTTGCTTCTGTGATTTTTTAAAAAGGATTTTAATTATTTATTTGACAGAGAGTTACAGCAAGAGAGGGAACACAAGCAGGGGGAGTGGGAGAGAGAGAACAGGCTTCCCGAGGAGCAGGGAGCCCAATGAAGGGCTTGATCCTAGGACCGAGGGATCATGACCAGAGCCTAAGGCGGATGCTTAACTACTGAGCCACCCACGCATCCCTCGTCTGTGAATTATATCAATGAGTATTTATTGTATTCAAAATTAAAATTGAGAAAGTAAAAAATTATTATTTATTTATAAATATACTAATTTATTTTTATTAAAATAAGTTAATATACATAGTGCATTTTAAATTAAAATAACTATTTTCTAAAACAAAATAATTCACAAAAAGTAGCATTTTCAGTAGTCGTTTTAATGTCTAACTTTCTTCCCCCCAAGATTTTATTTATTTCTTTGACACAGAGAGAGAGAGTGCACAAGTAGGGGGCAGTGGCAGAGGGAGAGAGAGAAGCCAACTCCCTGCTGAGCAGGGAGCCTGATATGGGGCTCGATATGAAGACCCTGGGATCATAACCTGAGCCAAATGCAGATGCTTAACCAACTGAGCCACGAAGGCGCCCCTAATGTCTGCCTTTGTAGAAAGCTAGATTCTCATATCTGCCTGCTGCATTCCCTCTGTAGCAATATATTGTTTCAGTTGAAGTCTATATAAGAAAATATGGTTTTCAAGATATGAAGGTAGAAAAAGGACGAATATCCTAATAAATTTTTCAAATAATTATGGATTTTTTTCTTTGATGCTACACCAAAACTCCACAAGTACTATCTTCTTCGAGATGAATTGAGGGGCACCTGAGTGTCTCAGTCAGTTAACCATTGACCTTTGGCTGTGGTCATCCTGGGATCCAGTCCCACATTGGGCTTTGTGCTCAGCCAGGGGTGTGCTTCTCCCTCTACCTGCTGCTCCCCTGCTTGTGGGTGTGCTTGCTCTCTCTCTATCTCTGGCAAATAAATACATACAATCTTAAGAAAAAAAAAAAAAGATTAGTTGAAATGTGGAAACTGAAACCATATCTGTGAACTTTTTGTACCCTATTACACAAAAATTCATTGGCTTATTTTATAATTAAAATATATCTTTTGCCTATGAATGATTTTGTTGCATCTCACATTGGTAATTTGGGGAAAATGTAGGTTCATCAAATATGGCAAATTTGCCAAATGTTGACACATTTCATTATATAGTATCAAAAATTCTATTTATGAATATTATTACTTACTCACCTGAAGTCTTTAAATACTGGGAAGCTGTCAAACTCACAGTGGAATATACAAATTTTCTTAAATCCAAATTTTCACTTGTAAGCCTGAATTTATCAATGGAAAAAAGTACCACCAGTTTTTTTCCATGAAGTAACAGGTTCACTTCATATTTGAGAATTTTCCCCCAAAATACCATGTCTAAATAAACGCAGTATGTCTTCTGTCATTCCTAAAATGTAAAAATAACATTTTATTAAAGAAAAGCAGCTATTTCAGCTCTCCACCTGAACAATCCTATCAGTGCTTTTCCTGGAATCAGCCATCATATTTTGACTTAAGCCTTTAAAGACACTTGAAGAACTTAAAGAACTATGGGCAGTAAATTAAGGGGGAAGTTTAAGTCATATGACTCAGCTTGATTAGAGATATGTTTTGCTTTATGAAGTAGCTGTGTTTTTTTTCTTTTTAAGATTTTATTTATTTATTTGACAGAGAGAGAGATCACAGGTATGGGGAAGCAGGCTCCCTGCTGAGCAGAGAGCCCAATGTGGGGCTTGATCCCAGGACCCTGAGATCATGACCTGAGCCAAAGACAGAGTCTTAACCCACTGAGCCACCCAGGCACCCCAGTAGCTGTCTTCTTTTTTTTTTTTTTTTTTAGATTTTATTTATTTACCTGACAGATCACAAGTAGGCAGAGAGGCAGGCAGAGAGAGAGGGGGAAGCAGGCTCCCCGCTGAGCAGAAAGCCCCATGCGGGGCTCGATCCCAGGACCCCGGGATCACAACCCGAGCTGAACGCAGAGGCTTTAACCCACTGAGCCCCCCAGGCGCTCCCCAGTAGCTGTGTTCTTGAAGAGTAACATGTTAATTACTTTTTATAATGCACTTCCTATGTTCAACACAGTACTTGTTCTAGGGTCAGAATACAACATTAGGAATTTTTTATAAAACAAAGGGTCTGTTAATTTCATCTGTTTTAAAAACATGCTTTCAGGGATCTCAGGGTCCTGGGATCGAGCCCCACATTGGGCTCTCTGCTCAGTGGGGACCCTGCTTCCCTCTCTCTCTGCCTGCCTCTCTGCCTACTTGTGATCTCTGTCTGTCAAATAAATAAATAAAATCTTAAAAAAAAAAAAAAAAAGACGGGCTTCTGGATAAACAGTTTTATTCATTGTCTTTATGGTCATAAAGTTAGGAAACTCAAGGATGTCTCCCCGAGACTTTGAAACTCTTTAGATAGAAAGACTTGGTGTTTGTGGAGGGGCAGTACCCAAGTAATTGTACCTCTGGCCCAGGACTTAAGAAGAAAAGATAAGTGAATAGAAAGGTGCCCACATATATATAAAGGGACTACATATGTTCCCTTAATGATCACATTATAATCTAATTAGATCAGTTATTTAAATCAGAGTGTTAATGAGGCTAAAGTCTAGATTTTGCCTCTTATGGGAGAAGTTTTATAAAGGCAAAAGCTATTTGCAAGCTCATTTGGACACGTATTATCTCCAGCTAACACTGAAAGAGTAGTAGTGCCTCGATTAGGAAGGGATCGGCAGGATAGGCTCATTATGCGGTTAGTAAAGAGGTAAGGGATCTTTTCTGAACTTTCAATTAGATAAGGATACTGGGTCAATTAGAATATAAGTTGATGCCTCTTTTTAGTTTCACTGTTAAATTTTAAATTTCATTTTATTCTTTTAAGTTTCTGGTAGAGAATCTGCCGCTATCAGTGGTCAAAGCCCATGTATATA